GTACTGACACTTAGTTTGCTTTCAAATAAAACCCAAATTGGTTATTTTACACTGTTCATTACTTTAATTTCATTTTCTAAACCATGCTTCAAGTTCTGAATACAGCAATTTAGTTCTATTAATTCTCGTAAGCGAGCTATTGAATACATCAAAATCTTGTTCATGTCCTTTACAAGTCTCATTTTCGTCTACTTAGGGTCATTTCAATCCTATAATGCAATCTAAATATTCTTTTCTTTTTTTTTTTTTGTCCCCGTAGGCAAACTACGGATTGAATTGTAAGTCACTTGTAAGTTTTGTGTGTTTTGTTCTTGTCTGAAGATGGGCTTTCAATTCCATTGCAGATCTCTTGTGAGCTCATTTCAAGTATAGCTTGAGTTCCAAGTTTACAATTTGGTCCACATTTTCTCATTGTTTGCAATTTTATATTTTTATTTATTCTCATTTTTATTATATTTACAATAAATTGTCTCTTTCATTTCATTCTATTTCAAGTCCTCGTAAATCCGAATTTTGACAGCCTTCCAGTATCTTCCTTACATGGGAGCATCTATGAAAAAACTAGGGTTGCCCATAGGGCAAAAGCTGGCACTTACGACAGCAACAAGTCTTCTTCCCTCACCAAGCCAAAAAAAGTGTGTATGAGTCTTCGATTATAAACGAAGAATTTTTTAGCACAGATTTTCCCATTAAATCAAAAAATGCACACATAAATTACTTATTTTATTTTGGTGGCCCGAGATTTGTCCCTAGCTGAGCTAAAAAAAGGCATATATAATTATTCATCCCAATATACCAAAAAACTCCAATCAAACCTCTCAATAAAATGTATAGTTTCCATGGTAGAATTGTCCAGCATAAATCCAAATTGATTATGAGAAATTTTTGTATCACTTTTAACCCATATTTAATTACTCTCCCATAATATAATTTTAGCGTATGACAAATTAACTTAATTTCTTTATAATTTGCACATTCTTGTGCATCCCCTTTTATTCTTTAAGAAGGGAATCAAAATACTCTCGTCCACTCATCAAGCACCATTTTAGTTTTTAAAATAATATTAAAGAGTTTATTAAGCCAAGAAACTCCCAAATCTCCTAAATATTTCTAAACTTCAATTGGCATATCATCAGATCCTGTTGATTTTCTCCTTTTGATTTTCCACCTTTGATTTTCTTTAAAAGAATTACAGATAATCTCAAAAATTTGAGACATTCTCGGGACAATGAGGCATAAACCTCATTGTGATTGTATAAAAAGCACTGAGACTGGGCCTCAAGACATGTCTCACATTATGCAGTTTTAAACAAGGATGTATGTATATAAATATTGAAAAAAGCCCAAGGGCTAATATATTAAAGAAAAAAGATACATATAGGTTTTATGGGTGGCCTAAAAAAAGGCATCCAACCCACACGGTACAACACACATAAAAAAGTTAAACAGGGGTACATATAAAAATAAAAAAAGCCCAAAACCACCAGGGCGCCAAAAAAGTGAGGGTCGTCCCAATCTAATTCTGCCTCTGGCTCTAGTTCTCGGAAGGGATCCAGCTAGCAGATTGGTAAAGTGCGTATCATTACCCGAAGTAACCAAAGTATCATCCATAAGACTCTTGAGCTCAAGCAGATCTCTATTTTTCTTCTTCCTCTTGAAAGTGTAGACCTGACATTCCTCATCTGAAGAATCAGTCTGATGAGGTGGTAGAGCTAAAGCAAAAGGATTACTAATCGTAGTACCCACAATAGGTTCTAGTATAGAGCTGAAGCAGAAGGATTACTAATCGTAGTACCCACAATAGGTTCTAGTATAGAGCTGAAGCAGAAGGATTACTAATCGTAGTACCCACAATAGGTTCTAGTATATGTGAAGTATGAGTTGCCTCTACACCGAATACTTCCTGAAGAAAGGGAGCTGCGAGGTTCTCCTGATTATCAGTCTGAACATTGTACTTTGTAGATAATATTTCATCAGTATTGTTTTTTATGGGGTTTGAAGGTGTCAGCATCACATCACTCGCAGTAACAGTAACAGCAGTGTCATTGGGGGGGTTCCATAAGGGGAACAAACACCTCTTGTCTGGTAGTATCCTCCCCAAGTGAAACTAAAATGTCTAAAGCAGTGGGGTTAGACCCATCCTTATTCACTTGAACCTTAGATTTCAAATTAGGATGGAACTTGTGGCATTTATCAAGGATATGCCCAAACATCTTACAGTGGGTACAATATGGGAGTCTGTGTTCCATGATGATTTTTTGCAAATATCCATTATGGGTTGTGCCCAGCCAGACTTCAGTAACATCAGGTAAAGTAATATCCTTTTCCACAAGTATTTTGGCCACAGGAGGTCTGGAAAGATTGAAAGTAGGCACATCTAGCTTCAAACAGTCCCCAACGATGGCCCCAATAGAGTAGAGAACCTGATGGTGAAAACAATGCAGCTTGAAACCAGGTAGACTAAATCATACCGATACAGTGGGAGTTTCATGATTTGGGTCTAAATCAGGAGACCACTTGAGTACAATATGGGAGTCTGTGTTCCATGATGATTTTTTGCAAATATCCATTATGGGTTGTGCCCAGCCAGACTTCAGTAACATCAGGTAAAGTAATATCCTTTTCCACAAGTATTTTGGCCACAGGAGGTCTGGAAAGATTGAAAGTAGGCACATCTAGCTTCAAACAGTCCCCAACGATGGCCCCAATAGAGTAGAGAACCTGATGGTGAAAACAATGCAGCTTGAAACCAGGTAGACTAAATCATACCGATACAGTGGGAGTTTCATGATTTGGGTCTAAATCAGGAGACCACTTGAGTAACTTCATTAATTTGTCTGCGATATTAAAATATTTCTTGGAGAAAATTCGGGTGTAGCTTTTAGCTATTGTTAGTTGAATCAACACATCTCTCAGCCATGAGCCACACTTTTCACTTGTCTACTAGTTTAAGATCCACTCTTTCTGATAACATCTATAGGTGGGTGCCCCCACTGAAATTTTCCAATAAGAGCAAACTTAAATTTTTCAGTCAGAGTAGAAATTTTTGAGTTAAAGAAAAAGATTGTTATTCTTCTACTTTTCCTACTTCCTTTCTTAATAAAAAGGTAATCATTTGTACCATCGCGACAATCCTTATAGCTTGAGGAGAAACCACTGCGGACTCCACCTGAGGGTTACCCACCACGTGGGCAAAGAAGGTCTTTGTCGGTTCAGTCAAAGAAGAAGAAAGTGTCATCAGAGCAAAGAGATGTGACGACGTTCACCTGCAGAGAGTTCCTGACAAGCAGAAGAAACGAAGCTATTGTTGTCGGGCCGGAGAGAAGCACGGGCGCAGACGCAAAGGTACAGGAAAAGGGAGGGGGAGGATCCCCGTCTATGAAACCCAAAAAAATACAATTGACACACCCCTAGGGGTTCCTCTCCCCACAGTACAACTCACACCAAAAAGAATCTCCAAAATACAGGTATACCAAAAAAAAAACCAAAAGCCCAAAAAATAAGTAAGCCTGTGATCTTGTGTAGCTTGAGAAGTAACTTGAAAAGTAAAGAAGAAATCATGTACAAAAGTGTCTTCAGATTATCCGAGTTCTCCAAAATCATCTCCATGGGCAGAGAAAAATCAGCAAAAACAGTGAGATCAAAACAGTAAACAGGAGTGAGGAACAGGGAATTAGAAAACTGAACTCGACCTGCAGCAAAAAGAAAACCTGCCAAGCAAAATATAAAACCCGCAAGAGGAGAATGTAGACCCCAGTCATCAAACCGAAAGCAACTCCTCCCTAGAGCCAATAAGCAGAAATGATTAAAAACGAACATAAGGCAGATTTAAGCTATCCCAAATGAGGAGTCTTCTAAGAGGAGCGGGGGGGGGTGGATACCAATGTGACAGACCTCTCCTGCATGCTTAGCAAGCCAATCAGCAGGAGAGTTTCTCTCTATGAATGAATTTCCAATTTACCTCAAGATGCTTTTCAGCCAAAAAATTAAAATACGTTTAAAATTGCATAATATATCCCAGAAGGGAGGAGAGGTACCCAAAAGAATATCATAGAGCATTTTAGAATCAATTTTCACCTGTGATTTATGAAAATTCAAAACATTAGCCACCATCAATGCCAAAAAAAACCCTCAGCATTCCATTTCCAATGGATTATCGCAACAACAGGGGAGGTGAAAAAACAGAGACACCTACCCTCAAAATCTCTAAATATTCCCCAACCGCAGCATAATCAGGATGCCAACAGTCATCCATATTTAATTTAACATAACTCAGTGAGGGGGGAGCCCATCTAATGAGTTGGGGGGCTTTAAAACCTGAACCTCAATAGAACCAACCCTTAAGACTTTATTGTAATAGGCAATCACATAAGCAACAGTCATAGAAGCAGTGGGGGAGAAGTGTGATATTTAAAATTGTTTCTGGAGTTCCAAAGGAACCAAAGGACTAGTAAAGGAAGAGGAAACCCCTCTTTACTTATATCAAAATCTTTCCATTGCCATAAATATTTGCTTAAAAAGCCTCTATACATCCAAGAAAAACCGAAATGTGCATGTGCACCAAGCATATCCCATACACCAAGCATATCCCATACTCTTAAAGAGAAAGCACATTCAAAGAAAATATGTCTCATGTCTTCCTCCTTCATTTTGCACATATGACATCTCGAGGCCATTTTTAAGACTTTTAACTTAAGAATATCATCAATAGGTATTAAAAAAGTGAGGTAGCGCTAAAGGAAAAAGGATATAAAGGGAGATAAAAGTTTATGCCAAATTCATTTTCCCCATAACCAATCACGATGTGAATGTAAATTGCCATAAATAAGTTTGCAAACCGATTGAGAATTGTTTCGTATAAAATATTGTTTTGTATAAAATATTTCATACAAAAATAAGGATTTCCATACTATCCATATTCAGCATAACATTGACAGTGTGATAAAGCAATATGCAACTTGCTAAAAAGGAAGAATTAAAGATTGGCATGACAAGTTTACCTCATAATTAGAAACAAGAACTTCTAATATCCACTCTGGCCATTCTGCCATAGAAGTAAGAGAACTTCTGTTTTCTGGAAGACTGCAAGCCAAAAACAGAAGATCCTGAAATAATATAGAAGGAAATATTCAGAAACAGAACTAAGCCACCTGCTTACTATCATAGCATTGACCAATGCATCAACATAACCTGTTCCAAGGAACAAATAAATAATCTGCTACTTCTACGATAAACTATTCTGAGCTTAAAAAGGCAACTGAGATGACCGACTACTCAATGATTGCTGATTGACTTTACTTTATAATGGAAGGATGGGATAGAACATCACTTGGAGTAGGATTTGAGCAAAGAAAAAGACTGAAATCTCAGATTGGTTAATATGACGACCAGAAAATCTGAAATATTGATGCATTAACTCGAGCCAGAGGATAGCAAGAATGATGTTTCTTTTCTTATTATGGTTCAGAGTACCAAACTTTTAGCATGATGAGTTTAGTCAGCAATGACATGAAGATATGACAGTGGATGCTTTTTTGTTAGTGCAGCAAAGAAAAACAGTTTTGAAAAGTCATCTATATGCGATTAATAGTATATGTTCATTGCGTGCACCAAAAAACATTCCACCCATTCCTATATTATATAAAGGTGAGTTCTATAGTGAATAGAACACATATAAATATTTGTCCCGTCTAATATTCTATTAAAGAAGAGATTCCGAACTTTTGCCATCCCCAACACCACCTCCATCAGAAACTGCTCTCCTGCCTGTTCAACTATCACCCTGCTCTTTCCAAAACAACATGCAACCCCTTCCTTCCACTCTCATCCACCAACAAACACGCAAGCCATCACCTACAGTATCAATCGCTCCTGTTTCTACCATCACTCACCCACACATATGTTTACTCACACTCTGCACCAATGCAAGCTTGCCATCCCTAGCTCACTCTTACTTAGCACATAGTAGCTATAACAGGTGAGCCATCAGAAGGCTACCCTAGATCGCCTCCTAAATCAAGTCAGTTGGCCGCTCACTGTAAATAATAACCTCACCCTCTTTTCCCAAGCTCCATGACAACTTAAATGCATTCTATTGTTTTCCTTTCTTTCTCTTGGTGATGTTTGTTGAGGACTCCCCTAATTACTCTTATGGAGAGGAAACACTCATCCATTATTGGTGCATCTATTAAACTCAATGATACCAACTATCTTCTATGGTCTCCGGATTCCCATTTCTTCATAGAATCTTATAATAAATTCACCAGCTTGTGCTATCTCTTGAATCAAAGGACACCAACACATACATCAAATAACAAGCTTCCGTAAATAGTGCTTTTGCATTAATATATCAAAAAAAAAGTAAACAATGATGCAAGTACATCTATGATATACAAAAGAGAGACTTATCATATACAAGTATGGCAGAAAGTTCCTATAATCAGCTATATGCATCAAAACAAAAAAATAACTAAGGGCACGCTTGGCACAAAAATGAGCGGCCCAATTACAATGTCGTAGCGTATGGAAAAATAAAACTTGTTTAATGTTTAAAAGAAAAGCAAATCCAGAAGCCTCTTGTGGTCGTTGAAGCCAAACAATATCCTTGTTGGTGGAGCTTAAAAATTGCATGATGTTCACATTATCCCCTTCAATGATAATACCCTTGCATTGAAACATCCAAGGCTTGCAAAAGTCTTGAAAGGATCTAATAGCTTGCAGTTCCACTTGGGCGCTATCCCAATGATGAGAGTGTTGTCCGATAGCCCAAATACCCAAACCCTGCTCATTGTGCAAGATGCAACCGGTTCCGGCAACCCCGGAAGGGAGGAGAGCACCATCAACGATCACACTAAACCAACTAGGAGTGGGGATGCCAAAATTACCAAGTCTCTTGAAGCGACTATTTTCTAGAAGATTGCTAAATAGGCATCAGAATTTCTCCGCTCATCATACTTTCACAACGATGGCATTGTTAAAGCGCGCGATCTTTTTTTTATATGCTAGGACAAAAAATTTACTCACTAGTACTACATCTTAAAATTGTCTATCAAGCCGATCGATACTTCATAAAAAAAAATAAGAAGTTTCTCATTGTTGTGTTCCACTCCAGCCTTCATCCATCCCAACAATATGTTCAAACTAAGCTAATGATGGAGTTTGTTATCATGGCTATCTTCCTCTTGTTTATCTAATCACTCAGTTACTTGTTATACCTTCTTCTAAGCATAATTGTACTTCCATTGTTGCCAAACAAAAGGGTGTTCATAGTTCTCATTATTGTGGTGATTGTTGTAGTTTTGATGGCAACTCTTTTCACCTTGTGAGTATTTTCAGAGGATACATCACTCATCGATTGCTTTTAAAAATTTGGCTATTCTTCAAACTAAACAGGTTCTCTACAGGTTATGTTACTATTTCCCAAGAAAATTATGATAAGCTTCAATAAAGCTCAAATATCCATTCACAACTCATGTTTCGTCCTCAAACTTGATTGCAATCATACATTTTAATATATCTTCAGTTTAAGATTCATATGTTCTTACATAACAAGTAAACAATAATTATATTAATCTCTTACCAAGATATCTCATCCTCTTATTACGATTCTCAATGGGTCTACCGGAAATCCATCCTCCAATATCTAAGAAAGGATCTACCCATCTCTCATTCACATTAATAGACAATATTTTATAACTCCCACAATTATTTTCTCCTAATTTATAACCTGTAACACCAAGTTTCCATCTTGCAACACCCTTGCTACCCCCTTATTCACGCACGCCTACTATGGTCAACCAAACTCACGAGCACTTGTTGCGGCCACGAGTCCCAATTGAAGCAATCGTTTAGTTCTGCATGTCACGTGAAGCTCACATCTTGTTGTTGCTATCATACATGATTGGTTCGCCCCTATCTCTTGATATAATTTGTCCCTACAAGTTCCATTTGTTGACTCTCTACTCTTGTTGAGCTTGGCTATTTTGGTTGGAAAATGCATGTGTTCTAGCTCGACATGCACCTTGGGGATGAATGTCTGAGCAAGGCAAACGTCGATTTTAATCTCGACACCTATGGTGGCTCCCTAGATATTTCAATAAGGCTAGCCTCAATTTATTTTTTGCTCCAAATTCATTTCTCATGCGGTGCCACCTCACTCCCTCCACTTCAAATCTTACATTGGCAGCCACTCCATCTAGGTCATTATCTGCTCATATACAACTGCTAACAAGTCTATTCTTATGAATGTTAGCATCCTTCGAGCTCCCATTGTTGGCTCTCCATGTTATGTGCTCCTTGCTCTTTTTTCGAACTGTGAGACTACTCTAAGGTTACAATAAGTGTTAAAGAAGTAAATCTCGGGGGTTGGAAGGGCAAAATGGCAGGTTGGCTACCATTCTAGAGGAAGAACAACACAGAAGTGAATTGTCGATGGCTTGGATGATAGCTTATTTTGTCTCCAGCTTGAAGAAAAATATGTCCAGCTTGAAGAAAAATATGTTGCGGCTCTCCAAATCCAAGAAAATAGAGAAACAAAGCGTCCAAATAAAATAAAACCCATGTAAGAGTCTCCACTAGGTTCTAGAATCATATAGTTATTTTAAAAGATAAAATGTTTTTAAATGAAAATTATTATAATTTAGAAACATTTTGACCAATAAGTAGTTTAACTTATACCTTTAATTGCTAATATTTTACTGGAAAGCTCGTTATAGACTAGATAGATACTGGAGAGTATGCATGCTGTTGAATTCAGATTTGTCCAGTGAGGCATGCCCAAGAATCGGAGCTGTAAAAACCGTGAGGGAGAGACAGAGAGAGAGAAGAAGAGGGAGAAAGAATGAAAGAGCACACACAGAATTGCCCCATAGGGACGATTTGGGGTATCACCGGGATGCGTGACCCATTTTGTATATTGTAACTGAGATATTACAAGAGAGAAGGGGATAGAAATCTCCCTATAGAGTGAGTCTAGTGAGAAGAGTCTAAAGAGGCAAAAGGCCCTATTTATAGAAGATAGAGGGAAAAAGTGTAAAATTGCATGTTTACCCATGCTTTAATAGGGGCAATACAGGATATTATTGTCTTTTCTTGTGCCTTTTCATATTTGTAACCTCCTATGGCACCATCGCATATGGGCACCAGTTGGCCTTCGCTCTGGGGAGCCGGTGGGCTATTCAGTTTGGACACCGGTCGGTTTTGAGTGTGGTAGTCGGTCGGTCAGCTTGTCTGATTATTGTTCATTGGTAATTTCTAAAGATCTTTGGGGAAGTTTTTGAGAGAGACTCACGTTGATAATTCGAGATTGTTGGGGGTACTAAACCTTTGTTCGGTCATTGGCGTGATTGTCTATTTCTGGTCCGCCTGGGTGGCCCTTAGGTCGTCAAATTGGTCTTTAGTCGATTAGCAGTCCTTCGGTCGGTCGCCAGCCCTTCAATCGGCTGGCCAGCGGCCAGCTGGTGGTCTTCAGCCTGACATATTAATTATGTCTTGTAAATTTTCGTCTGTGTGATCTGGATCATTAGATTGTCTCGTGATTCATGCAGATTATTTTTGGTTGAGCATTTTAAGTTTCACAATTTTCCTGCTCCTTGATAGAGAGAGCAACGATAAGAACAAAGAAATTTTTAATGCAATAAATCAAACCTTAACAGTCATAATTTAAAGCAATAATTAGACTCTCTGGATTTTCATGCCCATGGCCCTTATAAATAAGGCATAGTGGACGATTCTCCATATCATCAGCCTGTTTCACCTAGTAAATGCTCGGCTTCTGTGTTGCCCTTACGGAGAAAGGATCTAATTTGGCACCAAAAACTGTAAAACAAGCGAAGATGTTGGGTGCCCTTGAATTAAAGAAACATCGCCGGCCAAAAGGCAGGCCATAGAAGAAGAAGATTGCTAAGAAGTTGAAGCTATCTTAGTGAATGGAAGTGGAGGAATATTGAACTCAATATGGTGGGATCCAAAGAAAGGTCAACCCAACGCTAGGAAGAAGCTAGGTGGTTCGGCATCTGGCCTATCAGCAAAGGCTCTTGCTGAGATTCTGTTCAGCCAGAGATTGTGCGGGCACTTCAACCGACCAGTGTACAACTGGCGAAGGTGA